GTGTCGGCGGGCGCAGCTGCAGCACTCACAGCGTGTTCATGTTGCGGATGGCCCGTCGAGACATGATGGCGTCCGTCACGGCTTTCTTGAACTGCCTGCGGGGGGGGGAGAGAGGGCACAGGCGTCACCGCGGAGCCAACTGGGAAGAAGGGCAGGGGGCCGGGCACAAGCACACAGGAAAGGAGAGCTGGGAGTCGGGATCCAGCCGATTCCCAGGCCTGTCTCGGGTGCGATACTCGGATCACGCCAGGCACAGGAGGAGCTACTCTACACTAAGAGAGGTGGGGGACTGGAACAAGCTGCCCAGCCCTGTTGCTCAAGCCGCTATCGGAGAGAAGCCAGGGTGAGGAACACCTCCCTCCCCACACAGGCTGGACAGGGGCCACGACCCACGGGAGGGGGGGGGAGGGAGAGGAGGAGGAGGAGAGCGATTCCGGACCGGGACACTGACCTCATGGCCAAGTACATGGGGCGGATGGCGAAGAGGGGGAACGTGTGCACCTTGATCATGATGGTCATGAAGGCCATGTACAGCAGCACCTTGATGAAGCCTGGACACAGGGGAGAGGGACACGGTCAGACGGGCCACGCGGACCTCCGGGAACCGCACTCCCGGGACAGCGGGGGGGCGGCGGAGGAGGAGGAGGAGGAGGAGGACGGACACGAGCCGCCCGCTCCCCGGACCCGCGGCCCGAGCCTCACCCGTGAAGAGCTCGGTGTACAGCATGTAGACGGCCTTGTTGTCCCAGGGGTTCTCGCTCTGCAGGTCGGCGGTGTGGAGGGCGTACTTGATGAAGGTGGTCAGCACCATGGTCAGCAGGATCGCGTACTGAGGAGAGGCAGGGGGAGCTCGTGAGGGCAGAGGCAAGGCAGGGAGGCAGGGAGAGCTCGTGAGGGCAGAGGCGAGGCAGGGAGGCAGAGAGAGCTCGTGAGGGAAACGCAGAGAGGCGGGGGGAGCTCATGAGGGCAGAGGCGAGGCAGGGAGACAGAGAGCTTGTGAGGGCACAGGCGAGGCAGGGAGGCAGGGGGAGCTCGTGAGGGAAACGCAGAGAGGCAGGGGGAGCTCGTGAGGCAGAGGCGAGGCAGGGAGACAGAGAGCTCGTGAGGGCACAGGCGAGGCAGGGAGAGCTCGTGAGGACACAGGCGAGGCAGGTGGGCAGGGAGGCCTCGTGAGGGAAGAGGCGGGGGGGGCAGGGAAAGCTCGTGAGGGAAGAGGCGAGGCAGGGGGGCAGGGAGGCCTTGTGAGGGACGAGGCAAGGCAGGTGGGCAGAGAGAGCTCGTGAGAGACGAGGCGAGGCGAGACAGAGAGGCAGGGAACTCACCTCGAACCCAAACACCAGCTGGACCGAGGCCCCCCGGGTGATGATGCTGTGACAGGCGTGGCTCACAAACAGGAAGTCCAGAATTCCCAGCAGCACCATCAGAGCTGAGAGAGACGGAGGGGAGACGGACAGACAGATAGACAGGGGGATTATGTAAGCAGGGCCGGAGGAGCTTCAAGAGCACACACAGACCTCACCACAACGCAACGCACAGTGAGCGCGGGTTCACAACAGACAGCAGCGATGCTCGACCCCAGCTGTATTTCCGAGCAGCGATCCGCCACAGCTAGCGGGGACTTGTGGGAGGGATTCGCTCGAGACGAGCGAGACGTTGGGGGTGAATGATTGTAAGAAGGCGCTGCACTGATCTACGCAGAGTGTGGGTAGAGTCACGGTGTTCAGCAATACGTTACCTCCTACAAGCCACTTCCCCAGCTTCTTATTAACGAGGAAGGTCCTGCACCAGGAGTGTGTCAGTGCAATGGATCACTAGTTAAAGGAAACGGCCCCATTGGCGATTTAAGCACCTGCTCACAGAGCGGTGAGGAGCTCACCCAGACGTGACCAAGAGCAGCTGTCTCCTCCCTGGGGCAGGCGGCAGTGGGCTCAGTGCGGAACCGGGCCTGCGTGCACGTGTGCGTGTCAGCGAGCTCACCAGAGAGTCAGCATGCGCGTCACTAGACCTGTGTGCGTGTCAGCGAGCTCAACAGAGCATCAGCGTACGTGTCACTAGACCTGTGCGCGTGTCGGCGAGCTCACCAGAGCGTCAGCGTACGTGTCACTAGA